CTCATCAAGTAGAGATAGCCTGAGCTGGGAGCGGAACACAGCACATTATGTCTGGAGTCCATCCACATGCTCACTAAACATTTGAGCTGTGCGGCAGGACTTAACTGCTCTGCATAGGAAAGTGATTGACCCATTGAATAAGATGGGTTTCCCAATAGAACTCTGGCGAACTTTTTTTGGTGGCAACTTACGTAGTGGGGCTGCTTACCTGAACTTACTGAAGAAGCCAATTGCGGTTGTTCATTGCTCTGGTCTTCTCCAGCTAGTGAGCCCATTGTGTTTGTAAGCTTTGCTACAGCTGATACCCATTAGGTTATTTGTCACGTGGTGTCTGTCACTCCCTGGGCTGCTTTGGTTGTGTTTTGACTCAAAATACGGCATTTTCCGTGTTCCTGGAAAGTTGTGCGCGTGGATAAGTTGTATAGAACTCGTAAGTTCCTAGACGGCCTGCTTCTGTTTTTAGATGGTTAGTATTTTTGGGTACTTGCTAGTCAACAATCCCACAACATTAATCCTCATTTTTGATGGCGAATACACCAGTTTGGACACGTTTGGCTAAAGCAACAACAACAACAACAACAACAACAACAACAACAACAACAACAAGTGCGTGCAGCCCATATCTAGCACTGTCCCTTATACTTCCATTAGATGACATCACAATGGCTGTATGCGGAACGTCGTCTAGACCTACCAACAGTAGGTTCTAGAAATGGTAGAGATGCCCAAGCTAGAAGACTTTTAGTCACCGCGTCCTTGTTTGCAGGTAGGTGGGCCAGATGCGTGTAAGGCAAACCTGATGGAACCAGACCGGCAACTGTCTTCGCACTACCAATTTTTATTTTCGTCGGGAAATCTTTGCGTGTGCATCAAAACTAGCAGCTGTTGTTTGATTTCATTGGTACTGGGAACCATGACGTAGGAGCCTGAGGTGGGCTTGGGTGACCCAGTAAATTATGGGGAAGCGGGATGGACTGGTATGAGCAGATCAATACTCACTTCAATGCTCAAATCAACGGACCTGATTATGTAACTACTTTTGACCTAACACAGGATGCAGCATGCTCAATTAAGCCTTTCCTTGGCTCCTGCTAGAACCGTATTTAGCCCCTTTGTCAGCCTTACCACCAACTGCAGCTCTCTTAAAATTTATTGTTTATGATGCGTCATGACCTGCTGAATGATGGAATACTTGCTAACTACCAACTAGCATCTATATACTAATGCTGCACTTAAAGTACTGTTTTTAAACTTCATACCTTAATGTAAGTCAGATTTTGGCCCTGTGCTCCCGTTTCTTATGGCATATGTTTATAATGTACATCTCAACCTAGGCTGTTAGAACTAATTCTAACTTAAACCCATCCCGTCAGTATCTTTAAACCCAGAATGCATATAATCTACTTGTATATGCCCAACTTGTTTTTTAACTGGGAAAATTGCAGCTGCTTTCCCTGTAATAAAGTGAACCAACTGTAAGAAAACAAATAGAAAGTCAGTGCTTACGAGCTTAAGCGCTTGAGATAATTCACTTTTTTACCGCATTCAAAATAGTAACTGTGGCAAGCCACAGAACGCCTGCGCCTACAGAGGGAGCATGGGTGGTTTGAGCTGCACCACCCACAGCTGCAACCACACATCCCCTATCCAGTGTAAAAACGAAGAAATAAGACCAGGAGGCATGTGAATGGGCGCCACTTTTCATCGACGGAGCCGGCCCACACTCTTTCACAGGCGAACACAAGCACGCTGTATTTGGGAATCAAGCGCACACAATGCGGTGGCTGGACCGTAGTCCGCTCCACACTGAGTGCATGGAACCACTCTTCGAGCCTAGCACGGCCACAAGGACCGTGTATCTAACTTCTGCAGCAAGGACCAACTGTCTCCTGGAGCCAGTATGGATGGGGTAGTGGGTAATAGACATGTAGGTACCTTGTCATCATGCACATCAAGCGCACCGGGGGTATCAAGCCACAGCTACTCACTTGAAACAACAATATCAAATAAAATAAATAGATTAGTGTATACAGCTACTGTAACACAACTATTCAATAAATGAGCATGTGAAATAACTTGCTTGCCAAAATATCCACTATAGGTTCAAATGTCAGAAAATGCGCTTTAAGAAAACGTAACAAACGGGACAATTTCATCAAAATTAACTACAATTAACTTGAGAGACGTGTGCAAGTTAATGGAAGATAGTTCAGTTAGACATTAATTAGACAATATAGCGAACCCATGACTTGAAATAAAGACCCATCATGCAAACAAGCGATCTGTAAATCGAATGCAGCGTACCTACAAATGCTGCGCCGGTTCCGCCTACATTATCTGCAGGACCCATCGTCGTTTTGGTTTTGGTCCCGAGTGGCGTCCTTCATGGCTCATTATGCCTGCCTGGCTCCGACATGTGCTACAGCATCATACGCTCGATGTCGACTAACTACTACCTGTCGGCACCTGCCGATTCCGCAATCGCCGCTTCTTCTCCGTATGTATCATGTCTTTTTGCTGCACGTCAGCAACTGTCTTTGTGATCAGATCGCGCTATGCTTGCCGATCAACCGCCTTCGATTCCCATGACCTGCAATCAAGATTAGGACGTGAGTGGGTGACTTTGATCATGTCCTGGTAATGAAGCTTCGGTTTCCCCACATGCCGCTTCCCAACGCTCAGCTGACCATATAATAGTTACTTCGGTATCCGCGTCGAATCCATACGGCTCACATGACTGAGCCACCTCAGGTGTCTCAGCAAAAGTATGCAGTTCACTGCATACATTCCAATTCCACGCAACACTTCCGTGTCCGCAACTCTGTCGCACCAGCCGATGTGCAGAATCCGTCGAAAACACAGTTGATGGAACCGCTAGAGATATCGCACATCTCGCCGGTACATCTTTCACGTTCACTACAGTATAGAAGAACGAACAGCACCATGGATTTGTACACCATCAGCTTCGTGCTAATGATAAGCCGAGGGTTATTCCATACTCGGTAATCTAGGTTCCCGAATGCCGCTGCTGCCTTCGAGACGCGAATGCGAAACTCCTTGTGTAGCTGCTGATCAGTCGACATCATACTCCGAAAGTGACAGAAGCGGGAGGTGGTTTCTACTATTTCAACACCAATGCTGATTTGCGGCACCGTTGCAGACTGCACCTACGGTGAAGGCTGAAAGAGACAGACAGTTTTGCTTGTGTTGATAATGAGCCCAAATTTTGCCGCTGTCGAAACCAGAGCACTAGTCATGTACTGGAACTCATCCGCACTGTGTGTAAACAACGCACAATCGTCAGCAAATAACAACATACGGATAGTTGTCTCACAGACTAGAGTTCTCGCACCGAAATGACGGATGTTCAGCAACCCACCATCAATACGGGGCTCCACACAAACACCGTAAGCACAAGCCGCATCAAAAGCACAAGACATCATTGCATGAAAATAAATATTAAATAGGGCAGAAGTTAAGGCACAGCCTTGTTTCACACCAGAGACAACTGCAAACACATCCGAGGTCTCTCCACTCCGCTTCACCCTCGCTCGCATACCACTGTGCAGACTTTCAATTAAACTTACAAAATTACGTGGACAATCAAACTTACCCAACACCAGCCACAATGCCTCGCGTTTCAACATAGCTAATGCCTCGGTGAAATCAACAAAAGCGAGTACAACGGCTGGTGTCGTTCTCTACACTTCTCCTACAACTGACGAGTCGCAAACACCAGATCTATAGTGCTGTGACACCAACGGAATGCAGGTTCGGTTCTACAACCTGACTGACGAGGCGGCTGAGCAGTATTTGGGCAATTACCTTGCACACATAACTCAGAAAGTCGATGCCACGATAATTCGTGCAAAATTTCATGCTACCTTTTCCCTTGTATAGTCGTAGCACAAGGTCGTCCTTCAGCTTAGGAGGCACCTCTTCTTAGACCCATACGCGTTGCACCAAGTGGTGCAGAGCAGTCATCAACACGCGTCCGCCTTGTTTCAATACTCCAGATGGGATCCCGTCGGCACCGACACACTTACCGTTTCGCAACTGAGCACGTTCTGCGTTTCATCCAGTGTCGGTGTGTCCGCCAGACTCGCCTTCACATCGTTCTGCTTCAGGCCTTTCAAGTAGGACAGTCGATCTCTGAACGGTTGTGCAAGAGACTGTCAGATCTGCATTATGTATGCAGTCTGTTTGCAAGTAACGCCTGAGCTACCATCGATCAGCGTCCTCAGCGACTCCAATGTCCGTCCCTACACCACCTTCAAAGAGTTAAAGAATTCTTTATGTTGGCGACGTTAGGCGTAGCATTCCATTTGCTTCGCCTTCTGCGTCCACCAAGCATTTTTAATGCAACGGAGATCTCTGGTCAGCCGTCAATGACTTCACCTAAACTTTCTCTCCGTTCCCAAGTCATTGAGGTCTGCCACATGCGCCGCAAATACTGCATTCTCCTCCGACACCAATGCGCCAATGGTAGCATTGTTCTCACCAAAACAAATCAGGCCGCCTATGGTTTGCGAGCCCGATGGTCTCCTCGGCAGCAGCTGTCATCTTGTGACGAATGTGGTGCCACAGATCGCCCACTGTGGCTATGAATCCCACATCACACCGGTGTGCAGATATCACCTTCTCCAGCTCAATACTTTTCGCCACAGTACCGAAAGAGAGAATTTTACATTTACGCCTGTTCACGGCAGAAGTGCGATGCACAGATTTACGAAATTATATGTATTGTTTGGTCCGCAGTAATTTATGATCAATGCCACACTCAGCTCCACGCAGTATAAGTGTCATGCGCACTTCACGCATATCACGCTGACGTACGATGACATAGTCGAGCAGGTGAGCTTGACCACTCCGTGGATGTGTCCAAGTTGCCATATCACTCGTACTCAGTGCCAACCAAGTGTTCGTGACGTGAGTGGCACACAGTGAGAGCAGCCTATCACCGTTCAAATTCGCTGAATCAATACCATGCGGACCGACAACTTCTGTCCACACCGATGTATCATGCCCAACGCGCACGTTGAAGTCACCCAGCAGAAATAGTCGGTTGCTTCTCTGCACAGAAGGTATCACAGAGGATCATTGAGTGTAGAATTGATCACGAGTGTTATCAGGATAACGCATGGTCGCACCGTACGTGTTTATAACAGTGGCAAATTTACCTTTTCCCAGTCTTAGGGGAGCAGTCACCAGTCGCGCGATGCTGCCTGTTGGTTCACCCACCAGCTGGCCATGGAGACGATTGGATATTGCAAATCCGACCCCATGTTCAAGTGGTGCTGTGGTGGTGTTGCCAATCTAGTAGAATGTGTAACCAGCACGTGCTTAATGCAACTTACCTTGCTCAGCAAGCCGAGTCTCACTGAGCGCCGCATTATCGATGTTATAACGCGCCAGTTCCATGGCGGGGAGTGCAGTGCTTCGCTCGGAGCGCTCAGTCGAATTCTAGTCCAGTGGTGTGCGCATGTTCCAGCACCCGTTGCTGAGTGCTTCACACACAGGCAAACGATTGCATTGGTGGGCAATCGCACACGAAGCGGCGGTTGTGCTTCGGAGTTTTGCATCATATTCACCGCTACCATCCTATGGGACGTGTCAAGCACTTGCTTTTATCACGTGATAAATCATTGTTCGTTGTTCATTGTTCCGCCCGGAGACTTTGGCTTAATAGCCTGACCCACAGGGATGTTGGGAGCCGATCCAGCTCGGGAATGTAATTGCAGAGAAAAATCCGTATCATGTAAAACTTTGGGTCTGACGAGATTTTACCGAAAAGATATCTTAACCCTGAACGGTTTTCTGGTCTTGATTCATCTGATTACAGTGGGAATATTTGCTGTGTTGAAAATCAGCATTGCCCATGATTCGTTGAAGATTTTGTATGAGTATCTGAAGTTCAGTACTCGGATGGAGGAATCCAGGGTTGAGTTGGAATTTCTTAATGAATGCGTACAGGCAAGCCGCTATCCAAAACATTTTTGGAGAGAGATACGGCGCTGTAGCCTCTACCCAAACGCAAAAACTCTGAAAAGGCATGCACTTAATTATGTGGACACCATCCGCATTAAACTGTCGAGCTGGAGAGATTCATTTCGCAAAGGTTTCCATCGGTGTCAGGCTTATCTGAGGATCTGCGACGGCCTTTTGAGGAATATGTGGAATTGGTTAAGCTGAAAGTGGGAGCAAGAAAGCGAAGGAAATTACTTAGTACGCTGAACAACCAAGTCCCACAATTGACCTTTCCGATTAACCCGGAACGGTATGTGTTCAAGCTTTCCAGTGTAGTACTAAGCCCAACACAGCTGGAAGTGTTATCATTAGGCCCTAAGTTTTGTATTCCATGTAAGAAAATAGATCAGGCAGCCTTAGAAGTGCAGTTTGAAAGCCTAATGATACAAACTAGAGACCTGTTTCCAACATCTTCTAGTGATGTTGAGAGCCTAAAATCTAGTCTAGTGAATAGCTGTCATGAATATGTTAAGGCTAAACATCTAGTAATGGTATTATTTCAAGAGAGCAAAGTCAGGCAATTAAAGAGTTACGGTTAAACAACGAATTAATTATCTCTAGGACAGACAAGGGATCCGGCATAGTGTTACTAGATAGGGTGGATTATATCCGTAAAATGCAACATATCCTCAGTGACGAACGTAAGTTCCAGAAGCTTATGGCCGGAAAGGACAACACAGGGGAGTTAGAGAAACAGTTGACCGGCTGCCTCAAGCGAATGATGCAAGCCAAACTGATCACAAAGAGCGAATACGAAAAGTTGAAGCCTTCAGGTGGACACCTACCGAGATTATATGGCCTTCCAAAAGTTCACAAGGAAGGCGCCCCAATGCGTCCAATCTTGGACATGGTGGGTTCTCCCCAGCATTTGTCGGCCCAATGGATGGTGAACAAATTGCAACCGTTACGGGATATGGTTTGCACTTCTGCGTGAGAGACTCCTTCGAATTCATTGAGAAGATATCTGGACTCAACTTTAATAACAAAAGGATGATATCTTTTGATGCCCAGTCGCTGTTTACAAACATTCCCCTGCTCGAAACGGTGGAGTAAGTGTGCGAGTTGACCCGGCAACTACCAATATACGCTAACTTTCTGGAGGATTTGCTAAAGGTGATACTATTTCGCTGCACGTTAAATGTTCAATTCATGTTCAATGGTGAGATGTACCGTCAGATTGATGGAGTGGCCATGGGATCTCCTTCGGGGCCGTTGTTGGCTGATATCTTTATGGCGAAATTAGAACCTGGCCCACTCAGGACGCACACCTGTGAAACTGAAATGTACATACGGTACCTCGATGACACCTTCGTGCTTTGCGAATCCGAAAAGCATGCAGAATAGTTGCTGAAGGCCTTTAATGATGCACATGAGAATCTACGCTTCACCTGTGAGCACGAAAATAAAAAATAAAAACCATTTACCTTTCTTGGATGTAGAAGTCATCCGCAATCGGACGGCTCATGTAGCAGAAAGGTACACAGAAAGCATACGTGGACTGGAGAGTACACTAACTTTCACAGCGCGGTGCCTTTACAGCACAAGAGGAGTTTAATCCGATCTCTTGCCTTCAGGGCGCGCAGTATTTGCACTCCGGATCCCGTCAACGAAGAGCTACAGAGAATCAGCGACGCCCTTCGTGAGAATGGTTACCCCGATAAGTTTATCATGAAGCATATGAAAGAACGCAAGCAAAAGCCACCTAGAAGCATTGCTCCCAAGAAAGAGCTGTTCATACACTTACCATTTAAGGGCAATACTGCAGCTGATATCCTACCCCTACGTTTGAAAGATGCTGTTGACAAAACTTATTTCGCAGCCCGCTTAAGAATTGTTTACCACAACACGCCACTGCTTGCAAAACCCTTGAAAGATAGTCTGCCATCGTTGACCCGTTCAATGCTCGTTTATCAGTACTCGTGCTCTTGTGGGGCACGATAGGTGGGTCGCACAACGAGACGTCTATCCCAGAGGATTCGCGAGCACATCCCGGCGTGGTTTTAAAAAGGCGAAATGTGGGCCTCAGACAGCTCAAGTAATGTCGCACCTCCTCGAAAGTGGCCATACTGCATCTGAGAATGACTTTAAAGTCATCCACTCACTACCTGAACGCTTATCGCAAGGCTTCCGAAAGCAAATCTTGTCTATCGCCGAGGCTATTTACATCCATCATCTGAAGCCGGAATTATGCGTGCACAAACGATTCATACGGCCGATACTACTACCATGGCCGACTGACATGCTTACTTAACTACCCTTTGTGACCTTAGCTATTTACTTTAGGCCCTGAAGCCGGTATTAATTTCCTTTGATGCAGCCACCTTTAGTCATTGATCTTGACCTTTCAAACTCCTTAGAAATCAATCCCAGCCCGATTTGACGCTTACCCCACATAATCCGTATCATGTAAAAGTTTGGGTCTGACGAGATTTTACCGAAAAGATATCTTAACCCTGAACTGTTTTCTGGTCTTGATTCATCTGATTACAATGGGAATATTTGCTGTGTTGAAAATCAGCATTGCCCGTGATTCGTTGAAAATCCGGATTTGCTTGAGATCCGTCACACGCAGACTTTGAGGTACTGGAAGGATTCATGTACTTTTCGTGACCATAGTAGGATAAGCACCTGCGACCAAGGCCAGACACAGGAGAGTTTTGGCGGGTTCTCACCAAATTGACCAGCGGCTGCCTGGCTTGAGGTGGGCAGTAGCAAACCAATGAGCACCCGGAGGTGCCTTCCTACCGTCAGAGACAATGCTTGGCGCTCATGCTGTACGCAAATCGAGCTGTGAGCTTATAACGCGTAGACCTGTTGTCTCCTACGGCTAGGTTTTACGGGACGAGGGTCGTCGACCACTTCTTAACCTCCGAAGAGGATGGACTGGTATACTGGCAGGACGCCCACACCTGAAAGGAGAACGAATAGGGTTTTCAACCAAAACTTTCGGTAAAACGTACAAACGAAAGGCAGTGGGTCTAGCACATGGTCAGTTCACTGACTCATGCGGATTGGTGTCCTAGATCTTAGCAGGGAGATGCACGTAACCCAACTACCGCCCAGCAGTCGCCACGAGGCGTCCAAGACATGAGCCCATGGCGCAGCAACAGCAGCAGTGGGTGGATAATCTGTCAGGATCTAGCCACCACGGGCTTTAGCGCACCATAAGCACTTCCCCCTAGGTATTACTAAATTTGATACTAAGGCTGGTATAGGCGTTTAACTCGCACACGTGTCGACCTGTTATTCAAAACAAATGTCCAACAAATGTTTCGTAACCTGTTTTGGGTAGCGCTGGGGGATAGTATAAAAGACTTGAAATGATTGATTCATTTGCACTTGAGGTCCAGTGTCAATCAAGTGTTGTAAAACTGAACTGTTGATGGATTTTACGGTGCGCTTTAGTAGTGACGTAGGACAATGTTCTTTTGGAAGACACCTGGTCGTATGTCCAAGATACCTAGCAACACAGGTGCAAGTGAACTGGTATAAGACAAACGATTCGGACTGAACCGGGCGTTTATCCTTTAAGCGCTGAAGAATCTATGGTCATGTTTCGGCAAGCAGTGTTAAATTGGAAGTTGGAAATGTCTTGGCCACTGCCGTCCAGATTTTTCTTTTCAAAAGTTCTAGCGCGACGTCATATTGAAGGGGAACTGTAAGGAATACATCCTTTTTGGGCACTGTAGCGACACACTTGACAGTCTCAAGCTGTTTGGGGCGCTTTTTGATGAACGATACTGGGTATCCGAAGTACTTGCCAATTTTCAGTAGAGTCCGCTATATATTATTGTCTTGTTTTGTGTCAATCGGATAATTTGTGATTTGACGTAACCAGAAATTTACTGGATGCGAACCATATTCATGTTGCCTTGCAAACCAGATGTTATCACTGATCAGTTTTGCATCTCTTACCTTCTACCATTTGCTAAACCGTATGTAGTTTAGAAAAATATAGTAACTCTAGTTTGTCGCTGAGTTTATTAAATACCTATTGCAATGATTTCCTAACAGAGTCCACATTCCGCAAAATTCAAATCTCCCCGCGGATCCAACCATGCAGCAGCCCTACCACAGTCTATGCTGGTTCAAGTAATACCAGTTCATCAGAGTGAGTCACAGATCACAAGCATTAAACTGATAATTTGCGTAACAAAATAGGTCGTGGATTTTGTAGATAAACGTCCTTTTATTACTCGTGCCCAGTTGATAGTTTATAAGTGGTGATACCACCAGAGATTTCATATAAACAGAAATATTGTTCAGCTGCTTTTTGCTGCCGGGCACGAACGCATGCACTACTAAATCTTTGAGAGGTTAATATTAATGTTAATTTCGGTCTACCTTTAGAAGCCTAGTTCGAAACTGGTGTGATACTAGGCGTCCTTGAGGTGATGTAACTGCATTACGGGTACTGTTCTCTATGCAAATTCCACTTACAGCAGATATATGATAGAGTGTTCTCCTGGATTGCCTGCACAGCTGACAAATACAAAATAAGACGAAGCCAAATGCTGAACATATGTTTGGGTATGGTTCGTAGCCCCCGAATAGTAAGGAGGTAACTTCGCAATATTTACTCTTTTGCAATTGTATCCAAACTCCATTCGCAGAGTTATAAATCAAACGTGTTACATTACTTATGTGTTGCGCAGTTTTTAGGAGGATCATTAGATGCTAAGGAATCAAAAAATAAAAAATAGATCCTTTTTAGTGAATTTATAACTCACCTAAACAGGAACTTGAGCAACAGCCTTTCCAAGTTGATGTAAGCAAACATGTTTACAATAATTCCTCTCCAGGCTTGTACAATTATATGTGGAAAAACAAAATGTTTGACACAACTTTAGGGTTAGTAAAATAACTCCGGTTCACAATCAGTGATCAAGCACAATCACCATCCGTTCGGTCGCAAGTGCGGCGTACACACAAATCAGTGAGCCAAATGACGCTGTTCATGTGGGTCAAAGCATTTTAATCTCAGAACGAGCCGTTCCGGACCCCACGACTCCGGCTCGTACAGTGGAATCGAAATGGCCCCAGCGGATTCAAGCAAACGCATAGGGACGCACTTGCATCCATTGTCCGTTGCGTCAGACATTTTGTTCTTTCCACATATAATGGTACAAGCCCGAAGAGGAGTTATTGAAAACATATTTTCGCTTGTATCGAGATTTAACATTCCAATAAGATTTGATGCAACAGCATTTGGCAAACAAATGCAGTATGGCACTTCTCAGATCTCAAAAAATATAAGTGTACGTCCGCTTCCATCCCTATACAAGGACACGTTTAGGGTCCCATGAAAATCGCTTCATATTATGCTGACAGTGAAGTAGCCACATGTATGTACTGGTTTGATCATACTTGCAGCGAAATTTAAAATTCAGTAGTTAATAACAAGCATTATTTCAGTTTTAAGGTTGCACATGGATATTTTCCGTTTCTTCGGATACTATGTTTAACAGAAACAAGTGGAATAGAAAGGGGTGCTTTTCAGCCTTGCTTTATTCAGAGCATAAGTCGATCTTTTGAAATTTGCGTGACGGTCGATGTAGAATGTGGTTGAAGTTTGCCGCAACATCACTGTTGTACGTAAACTGAGGTACTACCAAGGAACCGAAAACTGTCAGCAAGTCAAGCGGGTGACATCGACATGTCTTTGTAGAAAGTGATACCATCCCACCCAACCGGGAAGACCAGTGGAGTAGGTTTTTCTTATCTCTAACCACTGACCAATCTGTTCGGAGTAGCTATCTAAGTGTGCAGAACATTAACCGGTATAGCTCCGTTCATCAAAGTGGTACGCCAATCGTCGCACCAAGTTAATGTTCGCTCCCGGCGCAACGGTTATTATATGTGTACGCTTGATAGCAAAGAGCTCAAGGCATCTGTGCAATTCAATATCCTTTTTGACAGTATCGGTAACGAGGAGCGCATAACTACTAAAGTCAGTGCATGTGTTGCAAAAACTAGAAATGATTATTTGAATCTGTGGCACCTGTGGTGTCAAAATAGGTTTATATTCCGTCTGCGAGATCTTGAGTTCAAGACCATGGTGACGCCCGTCTAACTCTATGTGAGTGGGACTTGGCTACTTCGGTCTGAGGATTTAAATTGTTTTCAAGTCTTTGATCATTGCCGCTTGCAGAGCATTGCTGGTGTCTGATGGCACCAGGGTGTCAACAAGGGCGATCTGCATGGGTAAATGATAAGTAGCAATAAACAGGCTGTTCCTTAGAGCAACCGATAGCATTGAATATGTTACGTTGGTTTAGACACGTATTAAGTGTGCTCGGTCATTGCTTGCTGTGAAGGGCTTTCTTTTTTCTGCCGGATATTGGGTGGCACAAGGCTCGAAGTGTGAAGTGTTAATCCGACGGTGATAAATGAAGATATTGACTATCATGAAACTGAGACACTTATGGCGTCGTCGTGACGTCAGTCTCAAGCTCAAGGACAGGATAAATAATGCTTCCGTCCGTGCGCTCCTGCTGTACGGCTATAAGACCTGACCTGTTCGCTCCGAAGGAATACGAAGAATGTCAGTTTTGACAACCGCTGTATGCGATGGATTGCTCTTGTGTGGTGGCAACATCCCATAAGGGATATGGACGCTCGTGAACGAGTGCTTGAAACAAACATTCCCAGCTTTCAAAAACCTTGTTCCGCGACACCGGATACTTTGGCTCGGCCACGTACTGCAGAAGCTAGCTTATTGTCTCCCCCGGCGTGCTTTATTTGCCATTCCTGGAAGCGACTGAAAAGTATCGCGGTGGAAAACCAATGACCTGGAAAAGGAGCATGAAGAAAGGCGCCACTAGTTTAGCTTCAGTAGGATAGGCAGGTCTCTCAGGTTGTAGAACGCTTGACTCAGAATTCCTGAGGTAGAAAAACACTGGATGTTATGGCACTTAACAAACATCAGTGGCGCCAGCGTTGTTGTGCCGTTTTATCTGTCGATTAATCTTAAGTATTTATCTGTGTTAAGAAAAACAAACTAAAAACGGTATGTGTGAAACCCAACAAAGAATTGCTTCTGTTCTTGCTTCTGGACTTTTATTGTCCTCTCTTTTACTACGATTCTGACGGCCCATTGTCTGTACACAGATATATATATATATATATATATATATATAGCAAACTAGCTACCGTTGTTCCATCTCACCTTCCAAGTTTTAGTCCACATGACTCGCCTTGTGCTTGGCTCTGGCTGTATCAGGACATCAGTGGTGCGACTTCTGTCTTCTCGTAATCCGATTATCTGTTTAAATTGCGTTTGGTTTTGAGTTACCTACCGGGTAGTGGCTGATTATGACACACGGTAGTGAAAGCCACGTGGAAGCTATCTCCTTAATGCCGCCTTATCTTTACATTATAGTCAGCTGTTTGTGATAGCATGTTGTTGACACATGGTGTAGTTGCCTTTGTCTCGAATGTTTGTTTGGATACTTATGGTGTTACTTCAGGTCCCCTTCTCTCCCTTCCATTATTCGTTGTCATCCAGATTTTTGTGGTTGTGTGACATCAAAGCATCCGCTGAAATGACTGATGAAATGCTGTTGCGGATGCTAATGCTATTATGGGTGCTTCATCTGTTTGTCTTAATAAATGTTTTTCATCATAAGTGAAGTTTTTAAGTTGGTAACAAAAATTTGCTTGTTTCTCATGATTGTAAAATGGCTAGATGCAACTACAGAGACGAATTAATTAATAGAATGAGTCATCTTGCTTGCGAGACAGTCAAAAACTACTATTGAGTTAGATATTAAGCAACAATACAAATTATCAGCTGTATGCCGTAACGGCGCTTCACTACCAAGGGACCACCATTACCAGTCGCGCGAAGGATGAGTATACCGCTAGGATGTTCGCCTCTACGTGGATTCGGTGACCTTATGATTGCAATCCAGGCGTGCAGACCACTCGGCCACCGGTCGATAGAGAAAGGCATCAGCAATACGCCAGTACGCAGTACCGACGCTTCGCTGTTATGCAGTCACCCCCGGTCGCAGGTGAGCTAAGGATAATGTGTGTCGTCCCACCTCTAAGCAGGCTCGAACTTGCGTTTCACATTACAAGGCAACCATGTGATCCCTATGTATAGATATAGATTAAGTTTTGCTCTCGTGGAACATAGCAATGCACGACCGGTTTCGAATTTGTCTAATCTAATCAGGTAGACATGGTGAGCTGTCGAACCGGGGCTGATTGGATGTCGGCGAAAACCTCTCGCCTCTAAGCCATTGGTTCGGGATAGGCAACACTTTTCACCTCAGTTCGTGATTGACTACAAGGTTTATTTTGAAGTACCCGTTGTGTGAATGGAGTGCAACGTGCCATCTAAAAGTGCAACACGGTTCGCATTAAAGTGAGTCTTGTGAATTTCGATCAAAAGGATCGAAACTGAAGAATACAGACTGGGGGTACAGTTGCGAATCCCGGATAATACGGCGCAATTATGAACAATGTAGTATGACGGCAACCCACTTAGGTGCCTATCAAAAATGTATATAATTCGCACTTTCGCAATAAGCCTAGGGGTAAATGCACATTGAATCGCACAAATCGTACACCTAAACAAATTTGGACATATGGCGGCGCTTCTTTTAAGCCACTAGTATAGTATTCACCAACATGAACAACGAAATATGCACAATGTAATGCATTTGCCTTTACTTGGTTTTTGTTTGCACAGAACCAGACCAGCGATCTCCAGAATGAGAAGGAAAAGGATTTCAAGCATGAACCATACAGATTCACACAGTAAACAGTCAGGACACATTATGCAACCAGGAACCAACGCGCGCCCATTCTCAGCTACCTTGAGGAGACCATGCATAGATCGGCCCTCAAGCATCGACACGACAGTTGCATCATCTGCACCCTCAGAGGTGGAAGACAAGAAAATAAATAGTGTAGCGACTCCAATTCACCGAAACTCACAACCACTGAGAGGGAGATTTCTTACTAGTCACAATTCCTTTTCGTATGTCTCCGTTAAACAAGATCATCAAAGAGGAGATTACGATCACAAAGCTGCAGAACAATCAGATGCTATTCTCACAGAACGGCCTAAGATATCAGGCGATACTGAAGTACTGAACAATATGGATTTGTCATTGCCAAAGAGAAAGATTGTCGTTGTTATTAGGAAAAGACCCAGAAATCGTAGAGGTGAGCCAACCGAAAATATTTTCTCCGGCGAAGGATTTCTAGGTGCAAATTTTCTTGGACAGTGAAACGAATCACAGTTGCTGTCAAAGTTGCTTTACTGTAGACTTAATCACGGCTAGGCAACGAATCAAGCAAAATGGACAAATAACGTATAATCTGCCTGACCTCTGTTTTAGTTAAGGGACTTGAAAATCGTGCAAAATTGACTTCTGCAGTTTTTCGCGTCGAAAAGCCTCGTGACGCCCGCACAACAGGGTTTCGTGCAATATTACCCATGCATCACCAGCCTCCTCGTCACGAAGCACGTATGGTTGCAAGCACGGAACCAAGGGAGGTCGGTCGACTTTATTTACGTAGACTTCTGTAAATAGTTTGTTACACTGAGGATAAGCGGTATTGGCAGCTCGCTGCAGCAGTTAATCAAAAGTCTCCTCACTGGTCAAAAATGAAGGTTTCAGGTAGACAACCATCTAACCGACTGGTATCCCTCAACCAGAGGCGTACCCCAAGGCACGGTACTGTGGTTCATTTTGTTCATAATCCATATCAAGGATATGTGCTCCGGTTTCTGCTTTCGTTTTTTGCGTTGCTTGCAGTTGACTTGGAAGACTGCAGTAGTCAGGGTCCCCGATACCTCTGACATGCTTCATCGTAGCCAGACCGTATATGCATAGGTCAGCCTATCGATAATCCCGGTCAAGTCACTAAATATATGCCAGGGTGAGGGTCGAAATGGTCAAAGCTACGCTGTGGCCAGTCAGCAGCTGCATCCCATTTATTTCGTGAAAAACTTCGGTGTATTCACACGGTGCGAGGTAAAGTCCGTGGACAACAGGGATGGGCTTTAGCAAAATGTGCTTCAACTGTTTTGGGTGCTTAAACCCTGTTTCTGAACCAGTTCTGAAAAGACTGCCACTCATTTTCAGAGTATGGCTCACTCGGAGTGCGGTGCTAGGGATTAAGCGTGTGGTCACTAGGCCAATCCGCACGTTAACAGGTGTAGCCTACGAAGAGCGGTGCAGGAAGCTAGAACTTGACTTCCTGTCTGGTCATCAACTGCGGGTTAACCTCGTCATAATTCATCGGATATTGCATCGTGGTGGTTACTCCAGGTTAAGACCTCTGTTCCATATGTGCACATCAAGCAGCAAAAGAGGAAACCGGTACAAACGTGGAGTACCAAATTTGTAGCCGGTCGCTCATCAAAGATGTTACGACAGGAGAGCGGGGCAATTAGGAAACAAGTTACTGCCGCACACAGTTGAAGCAAAGCCGGTGTTTGAAATCAAAAAAGTTCTTTGACAAACACTTTGTCGACTTGAAATCTCTGGGAAAACGCCAGCCTGGTAGCTATTTTACCCGAGTGCTTTCAATAGCAACTACTCAGAGATATATCTTCTTGCTACTTCCGCATAGCATTGAGTATACATGCTCTTAACAACAAGATGCAAATTTCTTATTGTTTTCCAAAAACGGAAAGGTTTATTTAACAGGGTAATGCAAATGTGTAACTGCCAAATTGTTGTACCTTCCTGCCTTCATTTCCCATCAGAAATTTTATGTGAGAAAGAACGAAAAACATGTTTGCACGAGAATCTTATTTCGGATTATTGCTTGTCTTCTCAATCACGCGCTTACAGACAAATCATGGGAAAAGTAAAGGAATGCAATAGAAAAGAAGATCAATAAGGAAATCAGGCAAACGCAGAAAATCTAGGTTATCGCCTACGTCTCACCAAGACAACGAGAGACTGGCCACAAGATCGAGCTGTTTGCAAAGCTTAGGTTCCATTCGCCGGATGGCGGAGGCTACAGCGAAACGAAGCAAGCTGGCGTTGTTCTGTCTGCCGAAAATCATGGATGCGTCACATGGGTTTTCGTACAAGGTGGAATCGAGCAGATGCTAATTGAGCTGGCAGCAAGTTTAGGGCCACCAGTTGCCAAGTTCCGTGGAACATGTTCCATGATCCTAGCTGTTAACCTTCTCTCGGTTCGGCCAGCGTACGCGCTACCGCAAGTATAGGTGAATTGGTAAACACATGAGGCGGTATCCTGACAGTGAGGCTTATCCAAATTACATTCATGGAACAGTTTATCGGTTTGATGTGACAGCACTAGCTCAGCTGCGTAGTAACACCCTTATATGGCTTGGTGTAATCGGTAGCACAATCTTCTTTCATTCTGATCCCGTCTTTAATGTATGCTGATAAAGACCTTTTCCTTTGGGACATTCATACACTTTTCTTTTTTAGCAACCGCATTCACATACCTAGTGATAAATTTGTTATTGCGTTGGGTAAACTCGATGTATCGTAATTCAGCCTCGCTTGACTCTTCGAAACATATTCGGTCTGCTCTAATAAAACAAGTTCAAACCAGGGATTGTCTCTAGTTCATTGGACAGAAACTGTTGAGATGTAGGTACTATCCAGGCCAGCGCGGTTTTTGGTAAATCGATCTTAAGAGAGTGAATTATCTTCTCTTAAGTGCAACCTCAAGAAAATGGAACGAATCATCTGATTCACTTTCCATAATAAACTTGATATTAAGATAGCATTGCTTTATTTCCAGAAGGACTTTGGTTTGCCGGACGGTTTCAACTACAAAAATGCAATCGCGTAGTAAGTTACTCTTTAGATGACCCATTAAGATATCAGCTAGTATCGGTCGGAGTGGGCTACCCATCGAAACGCCTGCAATTTGACAATGCATATTTCCATCAAAGCAAAGTTGGACGTCTTTCATACAAATACTGAGTAAGTTCTTCAGTCGATGTGCAGACAGGCCGACCTTGTCCGCTTGCATCCTTCTGATACTCAAGGTCTCATTCAAAGGGAGTTTCGTGGAATAGGAACATACATCGAACATACTATGTACTTATCTTGAACATTCAAGTACCGGACTTCGGTAACGCACTGAAAAGTATAGGTAAAAATTCTTAACATGACGAATTTCTACCTATACTATTCAAATCCCTTACTACTCTTCTGTAGTCAGTAGGCAGATCAAACTGCTTATAATGCCATAAGTTAACTGACGGCTTACGTTTGGGAAGCTCGTTGCTTGCTGAGGGGGCTACCCTGTCCTCTGCACGGCAGTAACGTGTAAGTTAGTGGATAGTGAGCGGCGCTATAGCACATCTAGTAACTTATTCACTATGGTCGTTGCCACCTCCCGTAGCTCAGTGATCTCAACCACTGACTGGCAACAGTTGGGTTGCGGGTTCGAGCCCTACCAGGGTCCGATGGAATGCGTACTGCTGACGATTCCCGAAAGGATGAAACGCGCGTACAGTGCTTTTGCGGGGGTGTGGCGGCTGTCCGAGTGAGTCTAGATGTGACAAATTTATACCTACACACTTCAACTTACCCTACTACTCTTCTGAACTGAAAAGTGTCTTTCAGACTGTGTCACACAAATGCTATGGCGGAGCTTTCCTCCTGAGCCTCAAGACTTCCTCGTGTGTATGGACTGCCGAAAATACACAAAGAAGGGGTTCTACTGCGTGCTATTCTTTTAAAGAATGTGGCGTCTTAGCAGAAAGTGGCACGGTCCTTGGCAAGGCGAATCTAGGCTAAACGTTCTGAGCGTCTCTATTTCGCATAAATCTTCTGTTTTTTTGAGATTGCAGGACTATTATGGTTCATTCAAAGAACGGTTAGTGCTTAAACCTCTATGATGTGGTTTGATCAAAAGAGGTCACTACACCACTGTAAGAAAAGGGACTGGACAGAGTCTGTTAAAGTTTGCTTCGACATCCGATGTGAATTATTTTAACCGAACCAGCGACCTTTTGGCTCCAGCTTTGCAGTCCGATGCGTAGAAATAGGGGTATAAATGCCCTGTCAAAGTCCATAACAGTTTACACCTGTTCATGGACCATAAAATGTCAACTAGAGATAAATAATTCCCGGAGAACACTGACGTAATGCAGACCAAAAGTAAACTAAACCACTGGGTATGAGTGCCATAGGATTTTGCACCAAAAATGATGGGGAATATGACAGTGCGTTGCATTTGTCTAACCTACCCAGATACATGTTTCGATACGCACCTACGCACTTGAAGTTCGGCAAGTAAAGGTAAAGTTGAGGTAGGTAAGAAGCTAACGACAATGAACATGCTATTCGATGCACTGGTGTGTTCCTGCTTTTATTTCACATATTAAGTGATTGATTCAGGTGGAAGTGCGAGCCGAGATCTAACAGAGAATGAACAGGCCCCATGGACCGTAATTACACATCCTTAAACATCGTATCAGCGTCTCCCATAATTACACTTCAAAGCTTTTGTGAGCCTTCTTAAAATAATTCAACTGGCCGGTTAAACGTCAAGGTCACCGTTATAAAGTTGCATATACACGTGGTGATTTCGAGCTTACGAACCGGTCTTGTGTGCCACTACACTGACATATTCTGACGGAGCCAATTTTGAAGGACGACTTAGATAAACATAAATTTTGTATGACGTATTCAGTTTGAATTTTGGCGTAATTACTGTGTGATCACTGCAGGGCTACTGCGTAACAAAGGGCTGAATTTATATTTAGACCAATACTAATAGGCTTTGTGGTCTGCTAGATAGTGTGGCGGCATTAAATTTTCACTGCACATGTAACTCTCTTCGCAATTGCAAACAACGCTACTGTTGCTTCCACGTAGTTCAATGACCCGATCCCCAGGTCTTCTGTGGCTATTCTTTACTCTTTTTCTCTCTCTCTCTCTGCATGATGACACAAATAACGCTCGATTCAATGCGGATCTGCTTAGCATGACGTGTAGATATTTCTCTAGATCCATTAGCAACACATCGTCTGGCCTACGTTGGCTGATAAATGGTGAGAATAGAAAAGTTTATGGTTAAATAAAAGCAAATTTCCAGTTCACGCTCAGGAAGTGGCGTGCGTTTGTTTCCATTTCCGAGTCCTACAGACTGTCCAGAGATTGCACAACCTTATGGTACACGGTATAAAGTGGTAGGAACGTACAATCTATATTGCA